TGTAGGGAATGGACTCTACAAGGTGTTGAAAGCGTTCCACAGGGATGCTGGCCCATTTTGACAATGCTTCCTTTGGGTGATGGACCATTCTTGATACACATGGGAAACTGTTGAGTGTGAAAAATCCAGCGTTTGACTTCTTGTGTTTTGCAAACTGGTGTTTTGCATGTCCGCAATCACGTTTTCAAGATATATAACTTTCAAAATACAGAAATATTTTGCATCAAATGATTCTGTATTTTGCATTTCTGTACTTTGAAAGTTATGTATCTTTAAAATGTGATTGCTGACATGCAAAACATTTTGGGACTATATCAACAATGGACCAATGAAACAAATACCAAAATAACATTTTTGGGTGGAATTGTTCTTTAAACAAAAAAAACAAACAAAAAAAAAGTATATATATATTTTTTTTTAAGCAGGGAGAAAGCGTGTAAGAATGATAATACATTTACATTTGTAAATAATGTAATCTCAGAACGTTTTGTATTCAATTACAGTATTTTCAATATAGAGCTATTAGCAGCACTATTTTGGTTGATTTTGTGGTCTCAGACCAGTGACTTTATTACATTTACATTTTAGTCATTTAGCAGACACTCTTATCCAGAGCGACTTACAGTTAGTGAATACATATTTTTTTATACTGGCCCCCCGTGGGAATCGAACCCACAACCCTGGCGTTGCAAACGCCATGCTCTATCAACTGAGCTACATCCCTGTCGGCCATTCCCTCCCCTACCCTGGACGACGCTGGGCCAATTGTGCGCCGCCCATGAGTCTCCCGGTCGCGGCCGGCTGCGACAGAAGCCTGGATTTGAACCAGGATCTCTAGTGGCACAGTTAGCACTGCGATGCAGTGCCTTAGACCACTGCGCCACTCAGGAGTACATTAACATTAACATTCTTCATCAAGAATATGGGCAAAATGTTATTATTGATTAATGAAAGAGGTGGGAATGTTGTTCCCTTGCCATATAATTGCTACATTTACTGGATAAGAGCGTCTTCTAAATTTCTGAAATGTAAATGTAACATGTGCTCTTTATGACAGAATGTTAAAAAGAGATGAAACAAACTGTTTTTTCACAAAGTTACACTACTCAAAAGGCAACGAATTAGTAGAACGACCCCATCTCAATACCACGCCGTCGCGCCACACATGAAGTTATATCTGTGTGAAAGTTCTGTTGTTGACCACACTGTTTTTACCATACACTAAGTTCGGAGAAAGTCAGAATGTATCTCTTCAATGGGTGCATTGTTGATGCGTTGAAAAGGTGTTGATGGTTCAAAAGCAGAGCGTATAAGTCTGTTTTGGACAAGTACACCCCTGCTCTGGAGAGGGAAGTGCTCTCTCGATAACAGGTAGGCCACAATCATACAAGATTGACTTGTAAAATTGTATAAATCATTTTCATATGATCTGCTGCAGAGCACTTAAGTCAGGCTGAGTTCACAGAGTCTGAGTGACTAAAGTCAGAAGGTTTTTCATACAGTTGGGATTGTTGGTTGGGATTCCACCTGTGATAGCCTAGTTTTAATTGGGGTAATGTCCTATTGTTGGCCTAAGGGAAGGGAAGAAGAAAAGTGGTGGTCAACTACAAACATTTTTAAAGGTATTTTGTCTCCACATAGTAGTTCATGGTCATGCTGTCAAACTGAGTCTGCATCCCAAATGTCACACTATTCCCTGCAAAGTGCAATACTTTTGATCAGAGTAGTGCACTATATGGGGAAACGGGTACAATGCTGACAGACTGACTGAGAGTTTGATAACTCAACAATATGGTCCTTCAATTACCAACATCAGCTGCTACTGCTGTTGATTGTTACACCCCCTCCTTGATTTACACACACACATATACACACACACATATATACACACACAGAGAGATTGTGCAACAGGATGCTTTGAGAATGACTGAGATGATACATACATCTCTCAGTTCTCCTTGAAAGTTAAAGTGGCTTTTACCATTTCCCACAGAAATCTTCAAGTCCATAGAGAATGTAATTGTGGTGGGAAAATACCCTCTCTCTTCTTATGTCTGGTAAAGCTTTCTCATATGATGCCTACTCGACCCTCCACCCTCGACCCTCCCCCCTACATCCATTCCTCCCTCCATTCCTCTGCTCAGGACAGGGGGCAACTTGTGTGGCAGGTCGTAAAGGCAGGAGCAGCAAGAACAGCTGCTTTTTCTTTTTTCTTTAATAAGTGAAAAGCCATCAGATTAGTCTGAGGGAGATGTGTGGAGTGTTTAGCCAGCACAATTATGTAGCATGTCACCTCATTATACACGACAAAATGGAGGCAGAACGTAACGGGTGCTAGTCCTGACCTTTGACAGAGAAGGGGGCTGGGGAGGTGAAGGGGTGTGCGGAAGGTTTAGCGAGGTGCTAATTTGACTTCATAATGAACAACAGGGCCACATGAATGGAAGTAATGGAGACAGAATACAGACAGAATAGAGCAGAGACCAGGAGGAGCCCATGGAGGTCAGGGATCACCCAGCCTGCCAGGGGCCCTCGTGGGGCTCTGAGTCCCAGGTTGGGTGTGTCCCAAATGGCACCCCTATTCCCTATATAGTACATTACTTTTGACCAGGGCCCATAGTGAATAGGGTGCCATTTGGGACACATCCCCTGAGTTGGAGGGCCAGGGGGGCTAGGAGCCAGATACCCCCTCCTGTCAGGGGCCTTCTAACAATAGCCCCCCACCCAGCACCCTTCCCTAGCCACCAGTCTCTTTGTGACTTTTCAAAAGTGATTAACTGTGTTTGGAGATTCAGAGAGTGTCCACTGCGGCACAATGAGCTCTCTCTCTCTTACACAATATAATAGAGCTAAACACAGTCTCTCTTTCTCTATTCTCTCTCTCTTTCTCTTTTTGTCGCCCCCTACTTTCCATTTCTCTCTCCACGCCCCCTGCTAGCATTCTTTTCTTCAATTTCTCTCTTTTCTCTCCCCCCACCCTTTTCACTATAGATCTGTCCGTTTTTCCCCCGTGCAGCTTGTTAATTAAAGAGAGGGAATAGATTGTGGTGGAGGCAAACAGATGTGACCAGTGATAAAAGGAAAGAAAATCAAGTGATGTGTCATAAAGGCACAGTTTGAGTAGAGCATATAAAATACATTGATTAAATATAAAACATTACTTGAAATCAATACAAAAATGTTTAAAAAATCTATAGCACCATGAAGTAACAATTGACCTTGCTTTTTCTGATTATTATGGGCTGTCCGAGTGCAGAACAAATTACAAGTTAGAAAGATTTTCAAGTTATAAAAATAAGTTATCAAGTCAGTCGCTACACCTTCTATTCCAAATGGTGGAAACAAAACACCTTGCAGAACTCTACACACTCTCAGCAGAAGGCACTGAAGAGCCACTTGTTGTATGTTGTCCTGCTAGGCAGTAGCGTGTTGCTTGTAGTTACAGGCGGTTGGTGGCACCTTAATTGGGGAGGACAGGCTCATGGTAATAGCTGGAGCGGAATAGGTTTCCATGTGTTTGATGCCATTCCATTTACTCCGTTCCAGCCTTTGTTATGAGCCGTCCTCCCCTCAGCAGCCTCCACTGCTTGTAGTACACGGTTTGAGTAGCGTGTAGTACACGGTTTTAGTAGTGTGTAGTACACGGTTTGAGTAGCATGTAGTACATGGTTTGAGTAGCGCTTAGTACTGTAAATGCCGAGATGTAAAACTCAAACACTCCAGCCTCATGACATCACACCCTCAGGCCGTTAGCAGGCAAGGAACAGTTCAAATCTCAACTCTTCTACGACAGCCATGGAAAGAGAGGTAGAGAGGAAAGAAAGGAAGAGAGGACAGGGAGGAGAGGGGAGAAGGAGAGAAAAAGCATCGAATGTCTCACCTCCTCTACACTGTCAGAAAAAAGCGTTCCAAAAGGGTTATTCGGCTGCCCCATAGGAGAACCGTTTTTGGTTTCAGATAGAAAAGTTTTGGGTTCCATGTAGAACCCTCTGTGGAAAGGGTTCTCTAATGGGGACAGCTGAAGAACCATTTTAGTTCTAGATAGCACCTTTTTTTCTAAGAGTGTACGACAGGCAGCGGTAAGAGAGAGGGAGAGAGGGAAAGAGGGGAGAGGGGAGAGAAAGAGAGCGAGAGAGAGTGAAGCAACTACACACTGATAGACTGTTAGCCAGAGAGAAATGAGAGAAGTTACCGCTGTTCCTATAGAAACTGAAAAGAGAGGGTGAAGCACCAACACAGAAAGAAAGCAAAGAGAAAGATGTGGGGGGGGGGGGGTTGAGGAAAGGAGGTTTGGAGATGGTGAATGGGAGAAAGAGCACAGGGGCTTAGGGCTCAAGAAGGTATCATTCGTGGCTCCTCCGAGACTAACCCTCATTCCCAAGAGGAGTAACCTCTCCCCCGTCTCTCTCCCGTCATTCCCCCGTCTCTCCCCTCTCCTCCTCTACATGTATTTAATATGCAGCGTGAGAGGCCCCACTCATTGAGTTTTAATACAGCTATCTATCTCTTCCACACGCAAACACAAACACACATGGACGCTCACACATGCATGTACACGCACACACAAACACACACACACGCACAGAGGATTCATTATCACTCAACAAAGGGAGAAGAGAGAAGCAGACTAATCTGTGGTTCTACACAATAGACTGGGATCTCTCCATCCTTCCATCCATCCATACTTTCCTCAATAGTTTCAGAGAAGGAAATATATAAATAATGAAACAGAGAAGGAGCTTACAGGCCAAGGACGATAGTGTCACAGTGTCCAATAATGACATCTACATTTGGAGGATTTGAAACTCATCTGTCCTTTCTCTCTTTTCTTTTCTTTTCTTTTTTCACTTTCCAGGAAGCAGGAAAAGGAGACAGTAGCCATTTGAATACCTTCCCAAGACACAAGAGACAAAGGCCTGTCACCGCTGGGTCATCGGATCACCAAAGGAAACACAAAACACCACTTTGAAAAGAATTTGATTTGTTGTTGAGTATCCATCATGGGAGATCGACATCACCACCATATTGGGGTTGGTAGGCCTGTCTACACCCTCCTACTCAGTATAGCTCTGGCCTGGCTGGCCCTGTTGTCTGAGGTCCAGGGCCGTATGGATAGAGCCAGGACAGAGGAGGAGAGTGGAGCAGGGCTGCTGATGAGGGTGAAGAGAGGCTGGGTATGGAACCAGTTCTTTGTGCTGGAGGAGTACACTGGACTGGAGCCGCTGTACATAGGAAAGGCGAGTCCACACACAAGCACGCACACACACACACAAAGAGAACACGTGTGAACTGCATGTCATTTTCGATTAAAGCATCTGCTAAATGCCCACCATCATTACTATTGAACTGCTCGTTGACAGCTCTCAACTTTTCAATAAATATCGTCGTGGTTGGCTGAACGCTACCTCTGACGACCACAGGGTCTATTATCATTGATCAAATGTTCAAGCCACTTTAACACCTGAGTGGTGTGCATGCTGAGCTGTGTATGTGTCTGTGTCTGTGTATGTACAGAATGGGAAGTGATTGCACCAAGCGTCAATAGGCTCAACAGGCTGCTATTTGCACTAACATACCCACAATGGTCTTCTGATTACACAGTCTGCATAATGGCAACCTATTCCCTATGTAGTGCACTACTTTTGACCAAAGCCCTATGGGTGCTGGTCAAACGTAGTGCATTATATTGAGAATAGGGTGCCATTTGGGATGTGTCTATAGCTCCCATAAGAACCACTAGCACCACTGATCAGGACAACTGGACATGATTACTGTTCTTCTTCTGATGACCAACCAACCGTGATTAAAGCTGCACCTAATAATATTGTTCTATCTCAGATGGCACCATATTCCCTATATAGTGCACTACTTTTGAACAGGGCCCATAGGCACCCTATGCATTTCAAATCATATCAAATGTTATTTGCCACATGCGCAGAATACAACAGGTGTAGACCTTACAGTGAAATGCTTACTTACAAGCCCTTAACTAACAATGCAGTTTTAAGAGAAAAAGTGTGCAAATTGTCCAGGTAGCCATGATTAGCTGTCAGGAGTCTTATGGCTTGGGGGTAGAAGCTGTTAAGAAGCATTTTGGACCTAGACTTGGCGCTCCGGTACCGCTTGCCATGCGGTAGCAGAGAGAACAGTCTATGACCACGGTGACTGGAGTCTTTGACAATTTTTAGGGCCTCCTCTGACACCGCCTGGTATAGAGGTCCTGGATGGCAGGAAGCTTGGCCCCAGTGATGTACTGGGCTGTACGCACTACCCTCTGTAGGACCCATGCCAAATCTTTTCAGTCTCCTGAGGGGGAATAGGCTTTATCGTGCCCTCTTCACAAATGTCTTGGTGTGTTTGGACCATGATAGTTTGTTGGTGATGTGGACACCAAGGAACTTGAAGCTCTCAACCAGTTCCACTACAGCCCCGTTGATGACAATGGGGGCGTGCTCAGTCCTCTTTTTATTCCTCCAGTCCACAATCATCTCCTTGTCTTGATCACATTGAGGGAGAGGTTGTTATCCTGCCACCACATGGCCAGGTCTCTGACCTCCTCCCTATAGGCTGTCTCTTCATTGTCAGTGATCAGGCCTACCACTGTTGTGTCGTCGGCAAACTTAATGATGGTGTTGGAGTCGTGCCTGGCCATGCAGTCATGGGTGAACAGGGAGTACAGGAGGGGACTGAGCACGCACCCCTGAGGGGCCCCCGTGTTGAGGATCAGTGTGGCAGATGTGTTGTTACCTACCCTTACCATATGGGGGCGGCCCGTCAGGAAGTCCAGGATCCAGTTGCAGTGGGAGGTGTTTAGTCCCAGGGTCCTTAGCTTTGTGATGAGCTTTGAGGGCGTTATGGTGTTGAACGCTGAGCTGTAGTCAATGAATAGCATTCTCACATAGGTGTTCCTCTTGTCCAGGTGGGAATTGGCAGTGTGGAGTGCAATAGAGATTGTATCATCTGTGGATCTGTTGGGGCGGTATGCATATTGGAGTGGGTCTAGGGTTTCTGGGATAATGGTGTTGATGTGAGCCATGACCAGCCTTTCAAAGGACTTCATGGCTACAGACTTGAGTGCGACGGGTCAGTAGTCATTTAGGCAGGTTATCTTAGTGTTCTTGGGCACAGGGACTATGGTGGTCTGCTTGAAACATGTTGCTATTACAGACTCAGTCAGGGACATGTTGAAAATATCAGTGAAGATACTTGCTGGAGCCGGTGTAGTACGATTCAATCTTAGTCCTGTTTTGACTCTTTGCCTGTTTGATGGTTCGTCGGAGGGCATAGCGGGATTTCTTTTAGCGTCCGGGTTAGAATCCCGCTCCTTGAAAGCGGCAGCTCTACCCTTTAGCTCAGTGTGGATGTTGCCTGTATTCCATGGCTTCTGGTTGGGGTATGTACGTACGGTCACTGTGGGGACGAGGTCATCGATGCACTTATTGATGAAGCCAGTGACTGATGTGGTGTACTCCTGAATGCCATCGGAAGAATCCCGGAACATATTCCAGACTGTGCTAGCAAACAGTCCTGTAGCTTAGCATCTGCGTCATCTGACCACTTCCTTATTAACCGAGTCACTGGTGCTTCCTCCTTTAGTTTTTGCTTATAAGCAGGAATCAGGAGGATATAATTATGGTCAGATTTGCCAAATGGAGGGTGAGGGAGAGCTTTGTACGCTTCTCTGTGTGTGGAGTAAAGGTGTTCTAGAGTTTTTTTTTCCTCTGGTTGCACATTTGACATTTGGAACGCAGTCTGTGTAATCAGAAGACTATTGTGTGTCAAATAGCAGCCTGGTGAGCCTGTTGATGCTTGGTGCATTTGGGACGTACACTATACCATCAGTCTCATGAGGGAGCCCAGACAAACAGCATTATCTTGACCATGTATACACTGGTCCTTGACCTCTAATGGTCGAATATAGTATCTGAAATACTTTCAAGTACTGTATTTGAGGTGTGCTTGGTGTAGTTTGCCTGTTACTATAACGCCACCAAACAAATAGTCCCAAGAAATGTAAACACCATGCTAAATCAAGCCCAAACACCTAAATTACTTTAAGGTATGGTCTAACATAGAATTACATATAGAACATTTGGTAGAGCATGGTGCTTTCAATGCCAGAATTGTGGGTTTGATTCCTGGGCCAACCATATGTAAAATGAATGCACACATGACTGTAAGTCGCTTTGGATAAAAGCATCTGCTTAATGGCATATACAGTATTACTATATTATTATTATTATTATTATTATTATTATTATTATTATTATTATTATTATTATTATTATTATTATAGGATCTCTGGCCCCTAAGCTCTCTTGACTCCTAACCTCTGACCTGTGACCCCGACAGCTCCACTCAGACATGGACCTAGCAGACGGCTCCATCAAATACATCCTGTCAGGCGACGGTGCGGGCACCACCTTCACCATCGACGACAGTACAGGCGACATCCATGCTATCAAGAGGCTGGACCGCGAGGTCAAGGCCCAGTACCTGCTGCGAGCCCAGGCCTGGAACCGACAGACAGACCGACCGCTGGAGCCTGAGTCTGAGTTTATCGTCAAAATCCAGGACATCAATGATAACGAACCTAAGTTCCTGGATGGGCCCTACCAGGCCACCATACCTGAGATGTCAACCATTGGTGAGTCAAGGGAGATTGTGGTGGTCAGAGACAAAGTCCCGATTCCCCTCTCTTCTCGCATGGATTTTAAGATAGTAGAAAACTCCCTCAAGCCAATGATTACACCCATTTATTTTAAACCCGTTACAGGAACTGTGCAAGTGCACACAGAACTGGGACGTGCGTCCAAAATGGCACCCAATTCTCTATATAGTGCACAACTTTTGACCAGGGCCATTTCAGACACAGCTAGAGAGTGTGTAGTGTAGCTGGACATTGTGCTGCTGCTTCTGAACATTCCATTCATCAATTCATGAAGAGTACTTGTATTCTTAGTTTTAATTATAGTAGTTCAGTTAGCAAACAGTGTATTTATGTAGTGTACGATGGTAAGGAGATGAGGATGTTTCAGTCTGTGAACACAATAGGCAAGGTATTGATGGCTCTGCAATTTCGTCATTATGTCAAAATGATGTCTCTGCTTACACACTGCACCAGTGGGATACAATATTTATAAATCCACCAGTGAGCGCAGGTACAGACACAGTTGCCTTTATACCCTATACCATTCGTCAACATTTAAGCAGTTTTATGCAGATGGACAGGCCATTTTGTAAACAGGCCAAAAATAACCATACAAATAGAATGAGTCATTCCAATTGTATGGAAATAACATTGCTCACCATGTCACTCTCTTCTTCTCCTCCCTCCCTCCTTCCTTCCCCAGGCACAGAGGTGATTCGGATGACAGCCACAGATGCAGATGACCCTACGTATGGTAACAGTGCCAGGGTGGTCTACAGCATCCTACAAGGACAGCCATACTTCTCTGTAGAGCCCAAGACTGGTATGTGAGCACAGGAGAAATAATGTAAAAAAATCATCGGACCTGCATTAACGATAGCAATTACAAAATGTGTGTCTTAGTTATGTTAGTAGATTGCCATGTTTTGGCACAGAGATGAGGCACTCACGTTTGCTCCTCCCAGAAGCATACACATACAAACAAACATACAGGCTGAGTGTAAAACAACAGATTTTAAATGTATCAACTTGGTTAAGAATGCCCTCTTCTGGCTGCCAAAGGTAAGAACTGGCAAATCAGTATGCGAAGACATTAGTCATAAAAAGAAGACACTGTGCATCCCAAATGGCACCCTATTTCCTCCATAGTGCACTTTAGGGCTCTGGTCCAAAAAAGTGTGTCGGTAATAGGGTGCCATTTGGGACGCAATCTAAGACACATCCCTAATCTGCCTGACGACCGCACTGCTGACCCTCCCAATCACCCTGTTTTTAATTGTGACCTCTCTCTCTCTCTCTCTCTCTCTCTCTCTCTCTCCCACGTTTCTCCCCTGTCCCCCAGGCGTGGTGCGTGTGTCTCTGGCAGGCATGGACCGCGAGGTCAGGGAGAACTACTCCGTCATCATCCAGGCCAAGGACATGGGTGGCCAGCTAGGGGGTCTGACCGGAACCACAGCGGTCAACATCACCCTCAGTGACGTCAACGATAACCCACCCATGTTTGATCAGAGTAAGAACCAGAGACTCCTCTCCTCATTGTTTATTTTGATTCCCTTCTTCAATTTCACTGTTGACCTCCTTGTCTTCATTCTTGTTAACCCTCTCCTTCCCCTCTCACGTTTGACATTTTAGTCATTTAGCAAGACACTCTTATCCAGAGCGACTTACCACCCACCCCCTCCCTCTCTCCTTCTCCCCCTCCTCTCCTCGGCCACCAGCCGCCTTATGCCCCTCTCTCTCTTTCTATCCCCCCCCCCCCCCTCTCCTTACCCGGCAACCAGTCCCAATCCGGACCCATGCTGTCTCTTTGATTGGCCCCATTCCTGCTCTCCTCATTAACAACCTCAGCAGGTCATCTGTCTATCTGTCTATCCCCCTCTCAATATCTCTCTCTCTTATCTGGCTATCCTCGGCCACAAGCCGTCCCCTAGCTGTCTGCCTGACTGGTGGTCTCGTCTCCTCCTCGGAACCCCACCCCCACCCCTTACTTCTCTCTCTCTTCCCTCTCGTCCCCCTTCCCCCTCTTCTCTCCAATTAGTGCCATCACTTGAGTGAGACTTTAATACATTGTGAGAAGCTATGGGGGCACTTGTCTGACAACCATAACGTGTGACCGCTTCAGTTCGGACAGTAGGAGCACCTCAAATTGGGAACCGCTGTCACCCCTGTTTTTGAAAAGAGGTTAAATTGTTTAAATTAAATTCTCGTTGACCCATAAGACAATACATCCCAATTTACGAACCGGCTCTCAGTCTGAACCAATTTGTGCTCAACAGTCTGTACTCTGGGTTTATAGGTTTGTCCTTTTAATGTCTTGGTGTAATTAAAGAGATTTGGTGCCCTCTAGAGGAAGAATGGGAAAACATGTTCTAACTGCTTTATGAACTGAAACTTGATTTCTCTCTGTCTACCTTTATTTATTTATCTATTTTGCTGACATAGTACCCAACCTGACACACAACAATAGATATTCACCAAAAAAAATTGACTCAAACACACAGTTGTTATGGATATTCACCCAGGGCTCATGGCTAAAAACATTAGAACATCACCCAGCAAACATCATCCCGAGTATAAAGGAAACAACCCATGTTTTGTTATGGAAATTTAAGGCCACACAGCTCTGCGGTTGCATTGGACACCACTCAACTGTTTTTCTAATTACTACATTTATTTGGGATGTGAATATGTTTCTAAATATGGGGAGGATACAAGACATAAGAGCTGACCAAATATCTGTTGAACTGGTTTGAACCTGGATTAACATGTCTCTCTCTCTCTCTCTCTCTCTCTCTCTCTCTCTCTCTCTTTCTCTCACTCACCCTTCCTCCCTTTTTCACCATCTCAGAGCTGTACCAGATGAGTGTTCCAGAGTCGGCTCTGGTGGGGTCTGTTGTGGGTCGAATCCGGGCGAAGGACCGTGACATTGGCATCAATGCAGAGATGAGGTACAGCATAATCGACGGAGACGGGAGGGACACCTTCGACATCAACACAGACCCCACCAACCTGTTTGGCATCATCACCATCAAAAAGGTACAGAGGGTAGACAAACCTGAAAGGTAACATCAATGAAAGCACGCACACACAAACACACACAGGGTAGACATCAATGACATGCTTTCATGCTTTCAGGGCCACTGACAGAGGAGTCGACACAGCAGATATGAGTCACATTGACCTCAATTTAGTCCAGAGAACAAGTTTAGAATCATTTTTTGATTGATAAACAGCTGATTCTCTCTTAATGGATTCTTTCTCAACATACCTGTAAACCTCTGCTTGTTTAGTGAAGGTGTCTTGGGGCCTGATTCAGACTTGAGATAGACTTAAGTCTATATCTTAAACCTACATCTTTCCTTGAGTATTTATATGAATGATACCTACCTATGATACACCATACCTACTAACGCTGTCAGCATGTCTCTCTCTCTCCTCTAGCCTCTGAACTTTGAGAGCAAGGCAAGCTACACTCTGAAGATAGAAGGAGCCAACATACACCTTGACCACCGTTTCCTGGATAAGGGCCCATTCAGCCATGTCACCATCGTTCACGTCAGCGTAGAGGATGTGGACGAACCCCCAGAGTTTGGCTCGGCTGCCTACTACATAGAGGTCCCTGAGGACGCAGAGATCAGCAAAGTGTTTATGACGGTCTCCGCTAGAGACCCCGATGCTGCCAACACCTCCATCAGGTGAGGATGGGGTTAAAACAACAACAAAATAACACCAGCACTGTCCATGTAATGCAATCAAATGGCCAAAAGGTGGCAGTATGATACCAGATGGGGGCGGTATGATATTGGAGTCTACAAGGCTATATTCAAAAGCCATTGAGCTGATGTGACAACTCTGAGTGATGGAGACAGTAGGCTATGTGATTTTTGTTAATTGGATGAGTATGGTGGTAATGATGATGACCTGGCGAGGACCCTAATCAGTCAAAGCTTTCTGCCATTGTGTGGTATTAGGGGACTTTCCCATTGTTTTCAATTATGCAGAGTCAGTGTGTTTACCTCACTCTCAGAGCAGATGTCGGGTTGGAGGGGAGCTGTGCACCCCAAATGGCACCCTATTCCTTATATAGTGCATTACATTTGAGACGCAGCAGCCTCACTCTCCAGACCGCACCTCTAATTAATCAAACGTTCAGCGTGCTGCACAGACCCTATGGACGCTCTACTCTAGAGCATCTGGTTAAATTGTGTTTAGGAGCATTATTTTGAATCTCTAAATGGTTAAATATATGTGATTATTGAAACAATCTGTGTTTGCTTCATTTACTATCATCCTAAATTAAGATATTGAATTATTTTGCCATATCTAATGAATGTATATTACACTACTTTCCATGATGTGGACAGTATAGAATGTGTTACAACATTACCCAAGCTGATGTTTTGATCCCATCGAAATGGAGGGAATTACACATCCTTTTTATTTCACACTGGTGATGTTAGTACTCCTGAGTGGTGCAGTGGTCTAAGGCACTGCATCACAGTGCTAACTGTGCCACTAGAGATCCTGGTTCGAATCCAGGCTCTGTCGCAGCTGGCTGCGACCGGGAGACTCATGGGCGGCGCACAATTGGTCCAGGGTAGGGGATGGAATGGCCGACAGGGATGTAGCTCAGTTGATAGAGCAACGTTTGCAATGCCAGGGTTGTGGGTTTGATTCCCACGGGGGGCCAGTATAAAAAAATTAATACAAATGTATTCACTAACTGTAAGTTGCTCTGGATAAGAGCGTCTGCAAAATGACTAAAATGTTAGCGTAAAAGTTCATAGTCAACACATTGACACAAGAACAATTGCTTAAAATATATCAACATCTTTGGTTTTGTACCGTGGATTTTGTCATACATGACTTAGAACGCAGCTATCATTTTCTTTCTCAAATGGAACAGATCATTCTGAGCGGTCTGTCTATAAAAGTCACTGGCCACACACCAATACATGGATTTGAAAGTCAAACTATTACTTCAAAGTACTTTTTCCTCTCATGGCTAACTACCAGGAAGTTTGAAAAGACAGGCTGAATGGGCGGGGAGCTTATATTCAAGAGCTCGCCTTGACTGACAGCTCTATGAAACACTTTTGTCAAGAAAGTTGGAGGCAGTGAGCAGTATTGCAGTAAAATCAACAGTGTATTAGTGTTGATTCAGGTGATAAATTAACTATGTGAGTGTTAAATTAACACTCATTGGTATAAAATAACCAGTATAACCAGTAAACCAAAACGACACCCATCATTATCATATTTCCTAGCATAATCTATTGCAGTTTGATTTTCAGAATTGTTTGTTTCAATATCTATGTTTTTGCATGTTGATTGATTAATTAATCTTATACATATGTAAATAACATACATTTTTCTAAGCTAATTCAATCTGTTGTTTAGACTTATTGCATCCCTTACTGAAATTGTTGTTCCAGTTTATAAGCTAAAGGTAGTCTCATACCTTAGTCTTCCCAACCTGGCAGTCATTTTGAATGCAAATGTTGGATAGCCCCACTCTGGCAGGATTCCAATAGGAATTACACATCACGTTGTGACTTGCTGTCTTCATTTTGCCTGTAAACCATGAGTGTCAGGCCAATGTATTAGGGTGAAACTAGGCCCTCAAAATAAGGCCTTATAAATGATGTGTTGTGTTGTTAAATAATTACATTTTAATGATAACATATTCACTTAGGATCTCACTTGGTGAAGTGCATAGTACTGAAAATGGATGAATGCAACAACCATGTCTTTGTCACTAACAAATACAGTCATGGGTGGTAACTCTACAATTCACTTGAAAAGCAAGGCCCTCTAGGAAATATGCAAATAAGGATTTACACTAAGCAGTGTGCTAATTTAACACTGAAAAGGGTGGACCCATACAGAAACTGGACCCTTTTTAAATGTAACACTCTCAGTGTTGATTTAACACTGGATAATTTGCTGTGAAGGTATTAGTGAATGCCATAACATTGTACATTTGACACTGAGGTAGTGTAACATTTTAATGCCACTGGTGTTGGAAACGATCGGTGTCAATAGGGCAACACTTTGAAAAGTGTAAATTCAACACTTTCTGGTGATCCTCATAAACACTTCAAAAGTGTGTAATTGAACACCCACAGTGTTCAATTTACAGATCGAATTTTGCTGTGCTTCTACAAATTCTCATCTGTACAGGTTATTCCAAGTTTCCGTGTGGCCTTTGTAAAGTGTTAGTTTAAACAGCGCCCCCTTTTCCATTGATTCCAGCATATTATCGATGGAAGTGATTAACAAAAAAATTGTTGTGTTACACTTACCACATTGCGACCCACTTGAATCAAACTGCTAAACTTTAAAATGTAGCTAGCTGTCTTCTACAAATTGTCCTCTAACCAGTGATGTTCACATTATTCCCAGATTCTGTGTGTTTTTTGAGCTGTGTTAGTTTTAACAGGACTTGTAACCTAATCCCCCCCCTCTTGTGCAATTGATTTTAACATGATAATCGATATAAGTGATTGACAAAACAGTGCTGCGTTTCTCTTTCTGTTTTGTTGACCCCCGTATCAAAATGCAACATTCCAAAATGTAGCTGACTGTGTTCTGCAGGTTGTCTTCTAACCAGTGATGTAAAGTAATATCCTGTTTCCATGTGGTTTTTGATAAGGTGCTCGTTTAAAAAAACACTAATATGATTACTATTGTTGTACATGAATGTGTAGATAGTACATTTATGTTTATGTTTTCAATATATCACAAACTTTTTCTGCATATTGGTTAATGATTTGGACCCTTTTAAAACTGTGTTTTGTCATTGGGCAAATATCAATATGTCTTGTCAACAGGAAGCAGCCACAGCATTATTTTCAACTTAAGTTTTAGGAATATAAATTGAACTTTCAACAATAATTTCCAATGGTATTGTACTTAATCAGGTAAAATGAAACTGCTGAATTACTTCAAAAACGTGCTGTAATTTTGTTATTTTGATGATATACCAGAAACCACCAAAACAGGTTTAACCTGCCTACTCTAATAATCTCGTCTGAAACTGCTACCTCTCAACATTTACGCAACAACTTGAGGCTAAAGGTTTTTGGAAAGGTGACAAACTAATTATTGAAAAAGTTGGGATAAAAGATTTGTTATGATGACAAGGAATATCTTTGAAAATGCTAATTTTAAACTGGAGACACATACTACTAAATTATTTCTGGTTCCATTAAAATTAGCATCCTTTCAGATGCTGGTATTTCCAATGTTATTCCTCTTTGTAAAGCTAGGTTAGTATTGTCTCTTAGATAATGTGGCTGTAGTCAATGCTTTACAACTCCTCAGTCCCAGGTTACGTCCTAAATGGCACGTTATTCCCTATATAGTGCACTGGGGAATAGGGCGATGAGAGAGAGAGGTAAAAAGGGAGAGAAAAAGATAAGCTTTTCTCTCTCTCTCATCACAAATGTTTTCTCTCTCTCTCTCTCTCTCTCTCTGATCAAACCCTACAGACACACACACACCAGGAGATGTGGAACAGCAAGCAGTGCTCCCTCCTTTACTGATTTGACTGTGTGTGTGTGTGTGTGTGTTGGAAACCATTATGCCAAGGGAATGAACCCAGCCATGACTGGCACAGCCATTGCAGGGGAAGATCCCCCTAAAGAATAACTATTAATATCACTCTATGATGTGTGTGTGTTTGACTGTGTCTGCCAGTCATGTTGTCGTTGGAGGAAAGATGGAAATGAGGAGGGAAGGAGATCGTAGGAGAGGGGAGATGGAGAGGGAGAGTGTGTGAGAGACAGCATTGAGATATAGCATGATATAGACTGAGAGGGAGACAGATAGAGAGAGAGAGAGAGAGAGAGAGAGAGAGAGAGAGAGAGAGAGAGAGAGAGAGAGAGAATATAGAGGGGTCTCTATGCACAGAACATATGTGTGGTCTTTAAGGTCTTTCCCAGTAGGAAACCTGGATAGACTTTAGACCCATAAAGTGTCTCAGACAGAGGTGGCTGGTAGGAGGAGCTATAGGAGGACAGAAACATTTGAATGTCTGTAATGGAATTAATGGAACGGCATGCCAACAATTACAGTGAGCCCGTCATCCTATAGCTCCTTTCACCAGCCTCCTCTGGTCTCAGAGTAGGATCAGACCCCCGTCCCCGTCCCTGTAATATTATTCATTTTGATCTAAAAGACCAAACTGATCCTAGATCAGCACTCCTTCTTTGAGACACTATGAGTATGAGCTTAAACTGTCCTGAAGCAGTGTTCCCCTCTCTATTCATCTGGCTTCTTCTCTGAGTTTCTGTCTGTCTACTCATTGTTGCGTGGAGTTCTCTGAGGAGCGTTTTGGAAAGAGGTGCCGTGGCAGGAGATGTGTCAGGCTGTGCACACACCCACCCCAGCTTTGTGCTGCAGGTCTGTGTGTCCTCAGCTCAGTTTGGCAAAGGGCAGAGATATCTCTGATTAGACCTTATCAAAACTGGGACGGTTTGAGGCAGTTTGTCATTTCTCCAACCTAAATCACAACACCTTATCACACTAACACACACGTGTATTAATCTGCACTCATGTGTGCTCACGCACTCTCTCACACTTACACACACACAAACACACATGTGCACACACTAAGCTCAGCAATAGATAAATATAAGTATGTATATATCAGATGAGTGTTACTCAACATTGTTTAACCTTCTTTCCCTCTGTCACCAGGTATTCCATAGAGAGGACCACTGACCTGGGGAAATACTTCTACATTGACATCACTTCCGGGGCGTTGATGACAGTGCTTCCTTTGGACAGAGAGGAGATCTCCTGGCATAACATCACCGTCCTGGCCATGGAGATGAGTAAGTCACATACAGTACACCACAGCACAGCACACACTGGGCAGACTGATGCTGTTATAGACGCACATTATAATCTGAGTCCCTATTGTCTACAAAAAAGTGCACTACATAATGAACATGGTGCCATTTGGGATGACGCCACATACACATACAGTATACTGGACATACACACACATCTGGTTTGTTTTGAGTGAAATTACCATATTACATTGTGTGATAATATAAATCAGACCTGTACACTGCTGGTATTCAGGACCCAGGAGAGTCACCTTCAGTCCTCTTGTTTTGTTTGTGTTTGTTTGGAATGCACACTAACGAGGGGAGCTACTTTTAATTAATGACTTAATTGAATAAACGGTACCTTAGTTGGGTCAAATTGGCAAATATGACTCATTTGGTCATCAGAATGGGAGGGAGGGAAATGGAGAGGGAGAGAGCGAGCAAGCGAGAGAGAGAGAGAGAGAGAGAGAGAGAGAGAGAGAGAGAGAGAGAGAGAGAGAGAGAGAGAGAGAGAGACCATAGAGATGTATAGAGATCGCAATGTTGTATCTGTCCAATTATGTCATCTGTGAGTACACGGGCAGCACCATTGAGGACATCTCCATTTTGAAGTAGTCAATTTTCTTCTTCTACTACTTCTATGAGTTGGTAAACTAACTGAAGGTGTGCATGCTGCCACCTGGAGTGTGTTATCTGAACAGGTATAAAGCCAAGGTTGGCCATTTATGGAATGATTGCTCACAAGGATAATTCATTGTCTGATCCCTCCTCATGACCTGGATGGAATTATGTGATCCTTCCTTAACCCATAGGAAGTCCCACCCAGTTGACTACTTAAAAATTGTGAAAGTCCACACTGGCGCTGCCCATGCTAAAACTGGCTTTTGGGCACTAGAGTTCTCTATACATTGCTATGATAGAGACAGTGAGAGAACAATGGGTGAGGGAGAAAGAAAATGAGTGAGTGGAGACAAAATTAGAGAGAAGAGGAATGGGAACGAGTGCCTTCAGAGTCTACAGCAAGCGTGCTGGGAGGGCTGTGTTGTAACTAGTAAGGCCCCAGGGTGAGATGGAGAGATCGTTTTTACTGGGAGTCTACACTCACACAAACACACTGAGAGGCAGCACAGAGAGCCATTTACCCTCAGCCAGGCAGAGCCAAAGTCAAGCTATTGATTGATTGATCGTTTGATGAAACCTGAGAAAGTAGTTACTGCCTGCTAATTGCATTTCCATTGCCAATTACAAAGTTGATTAAGGCATGCAAATGGCCATTGGTATAATGGAGAATAACTGAATTGTAATCTTATTCTGTGCGACCTAATGCACACTAGGCCCAGTGTACTGTGAGTGGAGGCATGATAAAGAAAGAGGAAAGTAGGCAGAGTCGACTGCTCAGCAGTGTTCATTTTGGCACTCTTTTTTAAAATGTAGTCTAGTCTTAGCCATTTTGACAAAAATATCATGAAGTCACATTTCTGTCATTTGAATAATGTTTTAGTCTATTTATTGTCAAAATGAAGAAAAAAACGTGTGCCATTTTAGTCAACTTAATGCCCTTTCATTTCAGTCACCTTTTAGTCAATTGACATTTGTATTGACTCATTAACCTATAGTAAACATAAATCACTGCCATGTGCACTAACATATAAAGACTTGTCCTACCAACATATATCATAACATCCTATTCTCTTCCCAATAGCAGAAATATGAGAAACATATAAAAGAATACACTATATATAAAAAAGTATGTGGACACCCATTCAATTTCGTGGACACCCATTCAATTTCGAGCACACAGCCATGCAATTTCCATAGACAAAAATTGGCAGTAGAATGACCTTACTGAAGAGCTCAGTGACTTTCAACGTGGCACCGTCATAGGATGCCACCTTTCCAACAAGTCAGTTTGTCAAATTTCTGCCCAGCTAGAGCTGCCCCGGTCAACTGTAAGTGCTGTTATTGTGAAGTGGAAACGTCTAGGAGCAACAACGGCTGAGCCGCAAAGTGGTAGGCCACACAAGCTCACAGAACGGGACCGCCTAGTACTGAAGCGCGTAGCACGTAAATTGTGTCTGTCCTCGGTCGCAACACTCTCAACTAAGTTCCAAACTGCCTCTGGAAGCAACATCAGTACAATGTTTGTCGGGAGCTTCATGAAATGGGTTTCAATGGCCGAGTAGCCGCACACAAGCCTAAGATCACTATGCGCAATGCCAAGTGTTCCAACATCTAGTGGAAAGCCTTCCCAGAAGATTGGAGGCTGTTATAGCAGCAAAGGGGGGACCAACTCCATATTAATGCCCATGATTTTGGAATGAGATGTTCGACGAGCAGGTGTCCACATACTTTTGGTAATGTAGTGTATATAACGATCCCCAGATGGTGCTGCAAAGTATTGGTAAAGTAGTATGGGTTGCAACTCCGTCACTCGGTCGAGTCATTGCTATTGTTATCAACGTTCCACAGACGCAGGCCCGCAGTCACATTGGTGTCCCAAAGTAGAACGGGGGCTAATGACTTTGAACGGGAGCTGAAGACTGTTTCGCCCAGTGTTGTAGTCGAGTCACGTTGCAGATAGAAATTCCATGAATAGAGCCGACGTTATTCCTTATTCAACATGTCAAAGAGGCATGTTTGTTCCACATAGCATATTTCTATCTGAACGTTCCAAAACGTTGCGTACTGCTGAACATGTTCCAAAACGTTGCGTCCTGCTGAACATGCCCCAGGTTGTTAGCTATAGTTAGCTAATGAGGTAACATGACTGAACAAGGTGTAGCCTAAACAAATGGGTAACGGTCCGGTCTGCAAGTAGCCTAGTTTTAGAATAGCCGGTGATATGCTTTATGAATGTAAAATGCGTCCCGCCAATACACGATAGAAAGAAGGAATAAACGTAGCGCCTATATTATGGGTTATATCTTTAGAACGGTAAGGGTTACAATCAAGCCTTCTCATTTAGTTTTGAGTCAGTACCACATAAACATTTTAAGTAATAATGACTTTTCATTGACTTTGAGTTCAACTTACAAGAAGTATTTGAACAAAAAATGTCTTGGGGTTTATAGTGTACAGTAATGTTTATGTGTGTCTTGTACAGTAATGTGTGCGTGTGTGTGTGTATGTGTGCATGAGTGTGTGTGAGTGCATGCAAGTCTTATACAGTAATGTGTGTGTGTGTTATATTCCAGATAACCCCAGGATGATCGGGAGTGTGTCTGTAGTCCGTGAAGATTCTGGATGTGAATGATAACCCTCCATCGCTGACACAGTACTTTGAAGCCTTTGTCTGTGAGCGCGCCAATGCTGGACAGGTACAGAGGCACACACACACTTTCATAGACACACACACACACACACACACACACATAAATACACATGTAAGACCTGGACAGAGGCAGACCAGTAACCAGTATTTGCAGACCTGTAATCTTATCATATGAAGAATTACTCAAATTGATGACATACTGCAGCAAAATATGTGCATACGCATCAATATTAATTAATAGATGCATAATTTGCATTTCTGTGCTATGTCAGTTTCACTCACAACCTGTCTCAAGGTTACTGACCTGACTGTATCTCTCTCCCCTCCCCTGGCTGTTGTCTGGTTGTCCGGTGACCTCAGCTGATTCAGACAGTGACGGCAGTAGACCCAGATGATCCTCTGGGAGGTCATCACTTCTACTACAGCCTGGCCCCAGAGGCAGCAAACAACCCCAACTTCACCCTTAGAGACAACCAAGGTAAATAAATACTTTTTTATACAGCAGTAAAATCCACATGACTTCCTGGACACTGATTTTTGCACCACATATCACCTTTTTTTCTGGGTATTATTTTTCATCAACTGCTAAGCCAATTCAGCACTATTTGTCTAACTCAGTCATTTGCGGTTATAATTACAGTTACCTTGTTGTATGTGAGGCAGATCTCTCTGTTTTATATAACAGGGGGTTCTCAAAGTGGGGTCCGCAGACTATAGCTTTAAGCTTAAAACTGCTAAGTTTTCTCTCTGCCCAATGGCAAAATATGTAGAATTGCAGGATATTAGCTTAAAAGCTGCAATACAAAAAATCTCTCTGCCCCATGACAAAATGTGTAGAATTGCAGGAAATTTGCTTGAAAACTGCAAAATGTTCTCTCCGATGCCAAGAGCTGGGCCTTTAAAATGTTCCTTCCCAGGGCCTGAGACTTGCACTGCAAAGACAGTAAAACTCCTTGTATACTATGTTTATCTCACTCAAGTTATAAGGGGGTCGCTGATTAATATGATTTCACAAAAGGGATCCCCGGCCCCAAACAGTTTGAGAAACAGCCCTTGACTTTTCCCACAATTTGTTCTGTTTAAAATGGATTAAATTGATATTTCTTTGTCAGTGGCCTACACACAATACCCCATAATGTCAAAGTGGAATTATGTTTTTTTTTAATGAAAAGCTGAAATGTCTTGAGTCAATAGGTATTCAACCCCTTTGTTATGGCAAGCCTAAATAAATTCAGGAGTAAAAATGTGCTTAACAAGTCACATAATAAGTTTAATGGACTCACTCTGTGTGCAATAATAGTGTTTATCATGATTTTTGAATGACTACCTCACCTCTGTACCCCACACATACAATTATCTATAAGGTCCCTGAGTCGTGCAGTGAATTTCAAACACAGATTCAACCACAAAGACCAGGGAGGTTTTCCAATGCCTCGCAAAGAAGGGCACCTATTGGTAGATGGGTACAAAATATATATTTTTGACATTGAATATCACTTTGAGCATTGTGAAGTTATTCATTGCACTTTTGATGGTGTATCAATACACTCAGTCACTACAAAGATACAGACATCCTTCCTAACTCAGTTGCCGGAGAGGAAGGAAACCGCTCAGGGATTTCACCATGAGGCCAATTAAAACAGTTACAGAGTTGAATGGCTGTGATAGGAGAAAACTGAGGATGGCTCAACAACATTGTAGTTACTCCACAATACTAGTCTAATTGACTGAGTGAAAAAGAAGGAAGCCTATACAGAATAAAAACATTCCAAAACATGCATCCTGTTTTCAACAAGGCACTAAAGTAATACTGCAAAAAATGTGGCAAAGCAATTAACTTTTAGTCCTGAATACAAAGTGTTGTTTTGGGGCAGATCCAATACAACACATTACTGAGTACCACTCTCCATATTTTCAAGCATAGTGGTGGCTGCATCATGTTATGGGTATGCTTGTAATCTTTAAGGACTGGGTATTGTTTCAGAATAAAAAAAATAACCAAGTACAGTCAACATCCTAGAGGAAAACCTGGTTCAGTCTGCTTTCCACCAGACACTGGGAGATAAATTCACCTTTCAGTAGAACAATAACCTAAAACACAATACCAAATCTACACTGGAGTTGCACACCAAGAAGACAGTGAATGTTCCTGAGTTACCGAGTTACAGTTTTGACTTAAATCTACTAGGAAAATCTATGTCAAGATCTGAAAATGGTTGTCTAGCAATGATAAACAACAAATTTGGCAGAGCTTGAGGACTTTTGAAAATAAAAATTGGCCAATATTGCACAAACCAGGTGTAGAAAGCTCTTAGAGACTTACCCAGAAAGACTAACAGGTATAATCGCTGCCAAAGTTGCTTCTAAAAAGTATTGACTCTGGGGTGTGAATACTTATGTAAATCAGATATTTCTGTATTTCATTTTCAATAAATGTATAACAATTTCTAAAAACATGTTTTCACTTCGTCATTATGGGGTATTTAATCATTTTTGAATTCAGGCTGTAACACAACAAAATGTGAAATAAGTCAAGGGGTATGAATACTTTCTGAAGGCACTGTATAAGACACCTAACCAGGCCCCTCTCTCTCTATCCTGTTGCAGACAACACCTGGATATTAATAATAATTTATCATATGATATACTTTGTCTAACCAGGCTTTTCTCTCTCTCTGTCCCTGATGTAGACAACACAGCATGGATCCTGACGCGTCGTGGGGGCTGGTCTCAGCAGGATCAGTCAGTCTACTACCTTCCTATCTTCATCTCAGATGGAGAGCAGCCGGTCCAGACCAGCACCAGCACCCTGACCATCCGTGTGTGTAGCTGTGATGTGGACGGCAACGTTATGTCCTGTAATGCTGAGGCCTACCACCTCCCGGCTAGTCTGAGCAGAGGGGCGCTCATCGCCATACTGGCATGTATCTTCGTCCTGCTCGGTAGATCAGGATCTTCTTCTTGTTCTTCATCTATGGAATTATTTTCTCCACTGTTGATCTGCTTTATATTTACTTCTTAAGCTACTGTATATTCCTATTGTGTATGTATATACAGAACATCAAATTCCAATCTAGACAAACCCTATTTTACCGTATCTATGCTTCTTCTTTTGAATGTCTTAGTCCTGTAAACCAACTCACTAAATTCACTAAAGCAACCATTAATAAACTCCCATATTTTGGGTTTCTGTTGTATCTGACCATGTCTCTTTTCTCTCCTCTAGTGATGATCCTGCTCATGTTGTCCCTCCGGAGCCACCGTAAGAAGCCCTACCTGCACGATGAGGAAGACAACATCCACGAGAACATTGTCCGCTACGATGATGAGGGGGGTGGAGAGGAGGACACCGAGGCCTTCGACATCGCTGCCATGTGGAACCCCCGCGAGGCCCACCTAGTGGGGAAGCAACGTCAGGACATGCTGCCTGAGATTGAGAGCCTGTCGCGCTACGTTCCCCTGGCATCAGTGGGAGGGCCGGGTAGCGGTTGTGGTGATGGAAACAGCAACGTTCAGGGGTATGTGCTATCTAAGCTTCTGGAGGCGGATCTGAACCCCTGCGCCCCGCCTTACGACTCCCTGCAGACATACGCCTACGAGGGGGAGGGATCGGTGGCCGAGTCCCTGAGCTCGCTGCAGTCTGGGTGCTCCAGTACTGATCATGAGTACGACTATCTCAATGACTGGGGGCCCAGATTTAAGAAACTGGCAGAGATGTACGGGGCTCTAGAGACGAACAACCCTCCCATGTGGTAGAGGGGAGGAAGGAACGAGAGACTCCCCCCTACATACACACACCTTAGAGAAAGACAATAAACAGAGACAATGACAGAGAAATAGAGAGTTTGAAAGGTATGCTCGCCATTACATTTTAGTCATTTAGCAGACGCTCTTATCCAGAGCGACTTACAGTTTAATAAGTGCATCAATTTTTCATACTGGCCCCCCATGGGAATCGAACCCACAACCCTGGCATTGTAAGCGCCATCCTCTACCAATTGAGCGACAGGAGACCGCCATATAACTGTAGCACTTGCGATAGCACAGCTAAGCATCGCCTGTTCTCCACAGCCTTGGAGCCCTGACAGCCCTGAGCCGTGTAGCTTCTTAGCTGTGTAGCTGCCATCATAATCCCTCCCCATCGGCAGGGAGAGGCTTCAGAGGAGCCTGGACTGACTGACTGACAGATAGCTTGCTCCACGAGGACCTCAAAGCAAAAGGCTTCAAAGCACACGTTAGTTAACTCCTGTGGCCTACCCAGGCCCTAGCCACAGGCGCCAGCAGCTCTTTGGTCCAAAGGGTTCGATTCCCCTCAGAAGAACACAAGAGAGGGGAACGAAGGGCAAATTTGGAACTCGGAATACATTACCTGCCTGTACACATGTATGCAGGAGACAAACAAACTCTGAAACGCAGACTTTGTTTTTTGTATTCTAAGCCACTATGTGACGAGAAAAAAATTTAAAGATAAATGTTTTGATGAAAAGTTTATCGTTGTTGTTGCAGCCATTTTTGATTTGAGAACTGCTATTTATTCCCGGTAGCTCCATTATGTGGCCGTATCTTATTGATTAATTATTTTTTTCATGTGATGTCTTTATATTTCGTATAACTTATTTTGGGGAATCAAACAAACACTGGACTTGTGTTGGATGTTATCCCAAGGTTGTGGGATCGGCATAAAATGTGTTCAAATATGTTCAAGCGTTATGATGTAACATAAATGTTTCAATGGCGTCAAATTGCACTTCTATTGTGTGTGTTTCTCAGTGTCTTGTTTCAGACATAGTAAGGGAGATGGAAACTCAGTAATCCTGTTAGGATTTTAAGGTTGATTTGTTCAATGTATCAATCCATATTTTGTTAGAATGAACCCTTTGTTGTTTTGCTCCTGGTTAGGAGCATGAAGCATTCACATGGATTCAGCAGGACTTTCGGTGTGTCCCAAATGGTACCATATTTCCTATATGGGCCCTGGTCAAAAATAGTGCACTATATAGGGAATAGGGTGCCATTTGGGATGCATGTCACAATCTTTAAACTCTTGTTTTGAGATATACTGTCCATGATACCACAGCAGGACTGGGGGACATTACATTATCTGAAACGGAGGATGCTAAATTACCATCAACTTGTCAGTCAACATCACAAACATACCTGGATGAGCACAAACAGGAGATTTATGATACGGTAATAACCATTTCATCAGGGTATCAGCCATGATCAGGGGTGGAAATGGGCGGGGGGTGGTGAGTCTGAGACCCAAACAACAGAGACCATGGTTCATCTGTCCTTTTGGAGAAACCAAACCGCATCATCTAGGCCTACTCCTCCACACGTTGTGGCTTAATCTCAACCCTCGCGTCTCGACCCGTGGACTTTGATAACTTTGATAATCTGCTTCTTCAAGTGCCAAATGTAAAGAAGAAGAAAAAAACACTTCAGAATGCCAAAAAAAACAATGTGAAATTATATGAAGACATTTTGATAATTTTTGATTGGTAGGAATCTACTTGAAATATGTGTGGTGTCAGTTACGCTACAGTCTGTGGTTTTTGAATGTAGATATGTTTTGTATACTTGGTAATAAAATACAAAAATAAAGCATTTTGCTGTCAACATTCACAGAAATCGCATTCATGGTAAACACTGCAGATGTTGGCTCAAGTAGAAATTACCTTTAAATGTTAAGCGCTGTGTAATTGTCTGCAACATGGCTTTGATTGATTCCCGGGTTTTGAGTGCTAAATAAAGGTATTTTGTTACTTTTGTGCCTTTAGGTATTTTAGCAATAATTAGATGTGCTTGCTGAAAGCAAGAACAACTTAAAAATACTGACATACTTATTAGTCTCTTTCCGCTGCCACCTGTAGTGCCAAAACTGCAAAAGCTACCAACATCAAAACAACTTTAAAATGTGCAGGCTGACTGTCTTCAGATTGATTGAAAAAAAACCATTTTGATACTACTAATCTTTTTCAAACTACAACCACTTTTGCATAAATCCCAATGCATTTTAATGTCCATAGACTTGAATTGGAAAAATTCTGGTCACTACTAGTCTTCCACCATTTAAGAAAGAAACACCATTCAAACTTTACAACGTGCAGACCGGTCTGGAATTGCTTGTCAAAAGATTGTTGATGCTATGTGTACTTTTTAAACTTTAACTTCAAAGGCAAATTGTGGATTAGCCACTCCTCTTGATGCATTTCAGCTACAACAACCAACCAAACGTTGACATGTGTAGACTGACTTAACTTAGATTGCAACAACAGAGCTTTTTGCTACCATTCATACTTCATAAACTACCATTCATTCTTCATAAACTACCATTCATTCTTCATAAACTACCATTCATTCTTCACATGCATTTCAATGGCGGAATGCAGGCTTTAACATGCTAAACTAAAATCACTGCCACAAAACTAAAAGTGTTGAGAGCTTGAAAAAACACATTCTATGGCTTATGGTACTCACTCTAGCCTACATTTTAGTCATTTAGCAGATGCTCTTATCCAGAGCGACTTACAGTTAGTGAGTGCATACATTATTTTTCATACTGGCCCCCCGTGGGAATCGAATCCACAACCCTGGCGTTGTAAACGCCATGCTCTACCAACTGAGCTACATCCCTGACGGCCATTCCCTCCCCTACCCTGGCCCAATTGTGCGCCGCTCCCTACCATTACTAATACAAACATTACCACTACCACTACTACTACTATTTCACAACCATAAACACTTCAAGACTAGCAAGCACACATATTTACTTCAGAACATGTCCTTTTCTAGTTTTGGAGAGAGAGCATACTTTTGAATAATAAATTACTTCTCTCCCCTGTAAGGAACATTAGGCATTTCCCTGAAGCATGACAGAAGTGTAAGCCTTTCAAAATATAAAGCAGCTATTTAAATGTGCAATCATATGCTAAATTGTTCTCAAAAGTGTTATTGCAGATTACTTCATTTTCATTACAGTTCCCTCTTAAAGTACTTCATTTGCTTGACTTATTTTGTTTGGAGGCAAACAAATACCTGTGCCTAAAGCTTAAGAGGCAATTGAGGAAGGCTTCCATTCCATTATTTTCACAACAACTACACAGACAATCTTCCCAGGTAAAACTCTTACTATGACAATCAATTTCAACCATAATCGTGTAAATATAAAACAAAGAGTTCATGTGAATTATATATTCTAATGAATGTCCCTGTTAGAAGTAAAATAAATGTGTCTGATACCATTTCAGTTATTCCGTTCCAGCTATTACAATGAGCCCCTCCTCTGGTATACAGTATCTGCCCACCAGTCAACCCTGCAACAGAGAGACTTAGCCTACAGGTACACAATGATACACCACTCTGTTCTGTGACGCTAAAGTAAGCTCCTCCTGCTTCAAATTACCTCAATGAATTCATGATATCCTTGTAGGAGGAAAGGAGAGGAGCTTGTAACTAGACACTCACCCAAACATTAATGCCAACATCTTTTTCTACTGCTTGTTATTCACAGCAATTGAGAAGCAAAATTAAGTGAAAAAAAGAAAAATAAATAACTGTGCAATAAACAAATGAGCCTGTGGCTTTTGCTCACCTGCTGGGTGGCATTCAAGAGTGAAATGACACAGACAATGGGCCAAATATTCTTAAGTCTTTAGCCACTACCTATACCATACATACTGTATATGACAGTGGGAAACTCCAATTACACACCAGTGGTTTTGTTTTGTCTGTCCTTTTAGTTATATTCTACGATAACTGTTGTAGACATTCATGCATTATAAGCACATCCATATTACCACTCTGAAAGTGGTAAGGCCTTATTTTGAGGGCCTAGTTTTACTTTAAAGAAAAACGTCACCCAAAAACTATATTTTGGTATTTGTTTCATTAGTCCATTGTTGACATAGTCCCAAAATGTTTTTCTTGTCAGCAATGAAGTTTTCAAGATATGTAACTTTCAAAATACAGATATCATTCCCGTATTATTCATTTTCCATCATATGATGCTATGTTTTGCATCATATGATTTGATTTAACACTAGATAATTTGCTGTGTATCCTTTGAAGCATCGGATACATGTTTACAAGAAAGGAAGAGGAAAACATGGAGTTTCATGGAACATGGAAGATAAGAGTTTTGCAGCCAACTAGTAAAATACAGTGCACCCTATTGATGGGTTAGCTGACAACGTCACGAAAACAATGTGCATTCTTCAATGGGGCAGAAGTCTGTGAGTGGTTGTGATTCTGGATGGCCAACAATGGTAGCTCAGTAGGTAGAGCATGGCGCTTGCAACGCCAGGGTTGTGGGTTCGATTCCCACGGGGGGCCAGTATGAAAAAAAAAAATTTGCACTCACTAACTGTAAGTCGCTCTTCTAAATGAATAAAATCTAAGAAATTGCCATGTGGGGAATCGTAAGTGACTTGTTTCGTCGTGATTTGACTGATTTCATACCAATGCTAATATGGTTAAAATTATCTAGCTACAGTAACCAACAATTTAATGATGTATTTGAGAGATAAAAAACATTGAAGAAGAAATGTAGCTTACATGTTGTCAACAATCTAAGCCAACCCCATCTGTTTCGCCCCATAGTTGCGCACAAGTCGGTTGTGTTGCTAAACAACCAACCCGTCTATATGATTCATCAGGAAATGTAAGCATTATGCAAATTGTCAACCAGTTTAAAACGAGAAGTGGTTATGACCGATTAAAACCTTGCAGGTATTACTACTCTGTAAGTTAACTTCAGAATTCCCCTGAATCCTCTCTTTTCTAAATGACTTAAATTGTAATTATGTGTTATGATTAACCTCCTTATTAATAATTCATTCAATAAATATATTATCAAGAGCATACAAAGCATCTATCACTGCAAT